CGGCAGGGAGGGCCCGGCCCAGAGCCTCCTTCCTCGTACACGCCCCTTCCCCCAAGGCACAAACACGCAGCCTAAATAATCCAGGCGTGCCGAGCTGCGCAGCGTTTCCCAATGAACAAAAACAGGAAGAAAAAAGGTACCGGTGCCTTCAAAAGGAGCAGCTTTAATGGCAACCCGCAGCAGAACAGAGCTCTGCCGGAGCAGCGTGTGAGACACAGACAATGCAGGGTGCCCGCAGCCCGGGGAGGCTAGCTGGGACCGGAGCGGGGCTCTGTTGAGTTGCTCTGAAGAAAGAAGGCAGAGAGCTCGCTCAGCGCTCGGTAGCGGTGCGAGATCGAGTTCTTCACTGCCTTGGGCAGTTCGGCATAGCTGAAGGGGAGCAAAAACACACGTGTCAGCAGCAGAGACGCTACAGCACACGTTCTCCCAGTCACTCAAATCTGGTCCCCATTCACTCGTCATCTCCCTGCTTGACAGAAGCCGGAACGTGTGTGGTGACATGCTGGAAAAGCCAACAACCCCCATCCTGACCCAGGGGTCCCCCATAACCCGCCACATTCAGATCCAGGAGGATGTTGTCTCAGCGCGACCCCTTCCTTGTAACCAGGCTCCTCTCCACGGAGAACCTCAACCCTGGTTTTACTTGCTTAAAGAGCTGTAGGTAAAACACCACTTACGTCTGGTTGTAGCCATCTGGCTGAAAGCAGGGATCCCAGCCAAAATCTCGAGGGCCTCTGGGCTCCACTATCAGCCCCTACCACAAGAAAGCAGAAGAGCCCCATAAAAGCTCTGGTTTCATAGCACTTGCCTTGCAGTCACAAGGGTCTAAAGAGCCTGACTAACCTGGCCTAGTGGGAGGTGCCCCTGCCCATGGCAGGGGGACTGGAACTAGATGATCTTTAAGGTACCTTCCAACCCAAACCATTCTGATATTCCGATTTTATAAAATGTACAGGCTTCAGTACATACAGCTGGGCGAAAAGGCTGCAGCATTCAGCCCCTACCACCCACACTCTCCATCAGGTCTTTCCCAACATGGAGAACCTCCCAGGACATTCAGTGACAGCCACTAAAATTGTCTTCAAGAGAAGCAATGCTCTTATAAAATTTGCATTACAGCCCTCCTCCCACAGCATGTTCCCTTCCCCAGGCACAACACGTACATGAGTCTGGCCTTTGAACAGCTTCACTGGCTCCTCTGGGTTTCCAGTACTGAATGCGAAGGTACAGAGAGCGTAGGCAGATTTGTCCTCAAACCCAGCCAGCAGCTTGTACAGGCCTGAGTGACACAGAAAGGATCTCGGCGTTACTGCCTTTCCCTTGGAGTGCAACACACCCACCTAGAGACGGATCGAGGAAGCATTCATATCAACAAGGGAGAGGAAGAACTACAGGAGGTGACAAAGCTCACACACGAGGATGCTCTTAGCTGCCCCCCTCGTATGACTGAAGCCAGCACCTCAGAAGCCACAGGGAGCAGCAGGTCTTCCAGGTCACACTGATGACAGACAAGAAGTTCCCACAAGCCCTGCCACCAGCCTGGGGACGCAGGAGTCTGGGAATCTAGGAAAGATGCTGAAGCTACCAGGGGTAAACAAAATCCTGTGAAGCGCACAGAACAGGGTCAAGGAAAGAACACAAGGGGATAGAGCCGGACAGACAGGAAAGGAACCAGCTATGAAATGGGCAGCACAGTGGGCAAGCACTCTCAGCAGAACTTAGCAAGTTTCAAAAGGACTAAGCTACACGCAGAGCAGTAACACGGCAGGCAGTACCTTCTGGTTTGAGTTTTTCCAGGAACCATTTTCTGAAGGGGAAGAAGAGAGGAGAGATTAATTTTTGCTATTATTACTCAGAAATATGCACAACCTTGAGGCCTTGTTGGCTACATTTTCACAGCCCTCTGAATCTCTCTTAAATGTCCTGTCAAGTTACCTCATTCTGGACTATTTACCAATAACGACAGATTTAGCTCTTAAATTGAATGGTACACAGTGAAAACAGCAGCAAAGTATTTGATTTACTGCAGTACTTGGGTCTATGTCAATAACCCAGTTCTCACTCAGCAGCACAAACATGCTGAAATACGTGGCTCAACTCAACTTGTTCATACCTTATACTCAGTTCTGGTGTCAACTTCATCACATAAAGCTTTTATGTCTCTTCTTAGCTCAGCAGAGATAGTTTGAAAGAATTAATTACGCTTAAAGTTAATTCCAGGAGTTAAGGCGGTATTCTATTAGAGAAGTTACACTGTAATGTAATCATCTTGTTATTGACTGAATTAAAGCAGTCCCTAGGAGAACCCATAGGACACTTATCCCAGAGTCCTGACCTTAAATATACAGAGCCCACTGTGGAGCCAGGTTTCCTAGCTGGCTGCAAGAGCAGGCATTGCAGATTTGGAGCCAGAGACAAAAATTCAGGTCAGTCTGTCTCTCTTGTCTTGGACCGTGACTTACAGCAAGATTCAAGGAGTTAAGTCCAGCCCCTGGAGTACAGGATGAAGCTGAGGATACAGAGCAGTTATCAGCTCCCTGAGCCTGGCCCATGGAAAATCCCCCACAAAGCACATCCTGCCAGCCTGCGCTCCTCACTTTAGAACATAAAAGGTGAAGCAAGTTACCTCCTACTTACATGTAGGGCCCTGGTAGCCCCGCTAGGGCATTGAAGCACAAGCAGGTATCCTCTACTATAACAGGTCCCTGAACCTACAATGAAAGCCCAAGAGATGGAATCATCAGACCTAGAGGAAGGCACTGCTTCCAGCCCCATTTTCTTACACTAGCCTATTCTAACATTTCTATGAGAACAGGAATGTCACAAAAATTCACCAGCATTAGAGCTCTTTACCTCAAAGGCAATCCACATCAACAGACACAATCAAACCCATGTTCTCCCCAGGCAGGCCAGAGTGGCTGAAGAACAGTAGGGAAGATCTCACATGGAGGAAAATGAGCAGAGCTGAACAACACCTGCCTGCCTGAGGGATAGGATCAGTGTGACAAGGAGAGTGAAAGGCTGTGTCCTGGGGGAATGCCTGCATTTTCCTGGACCTCCAACTCTCACTTGGTTCTTTTAAGACACCCACCCAAAACACAGCTGTGGAAGGTGATCCATGAGAAGCTCCAGCTGCCCAAAAACTCAGTGTCCCGAAACCACTGGGGCTGGACTGAAGGAACTGTCACATCCTCCTGCTGCTTAAGGGACAGAGCAGGCTAGAGAAGCAGCAGCAGGACTGCCAAAACACTGTGTCACCAGCAAGAATTCACCATTACCCAGCACAGGCCAGAAACAGCCAGGTGATGGGAGTGCAGTGAGGCCAAGCCAGGCGCAGATACATCCTTGACTTTGCTCAAGGCCAAGTCAGAAGCCTCGACGCCCTCAGCTGTTCTCCCGCCCTGCTGGGGCTAAGCTCCCCTGGAGAGCCCACCCCACTGCTCTGACCAGCGGGAAAAGGGAAGGAGAAAGCGACTGACCTGCCGGGCGGCTTCGCGGCACTTCTGCACGGAGATCTCGTCCGGTTCCCCCTGGTACTCTGGCACTGCGGATACAAAGGCCGGCGGCGCTGAGGAGAAGGCCTAAGCCAGCCCCTTGCGTCCCCCCAAC